TTGATTCAAGAACTCACTTTGAAACTAAAAAAAAAATTTTGAGTCTGGAATCAAATTACAATGATCTTCCTATACCTCCATGCGTCTCCTCTCCAGCTCTGCAGTCTTCATTGCTTCATTTACATACATCAATTCTGACTGCTTGTTCCTTTGATATTTTTATGAGTCATTTCCTTACTGCTCTTGAGAAAAGAAACTACCTTCTAAGGGACTGACTCCTTGCACTACTACTAAGCTATATCTCCAAGATCCTTAATGAATGAATGAGTTAATCCATTTATAAAATAACTAGCAAAACTAATAGGTGAGTTCTTGAAGCAAAGAAACTTAGGCCAAAAAAGGCCATCAGTTTATTTGCAGATCCATTTTTTTGGTTCCGTTTTTATTCTTAGGGAAAAGATTTAACTCTTCTAATTATTGTGCACCCATTCCCCTGAAACATCCTTTTGTTTGTTAGTTTTTGTGTTTAGTGCCTGTTGCCTTAAACAATTCATCTCCACACTGATAGACTTGGGTGTTCCATTTGTTAATCTTGTTACAGTTGCTGGGCTTTTATCAAGAATTTTCACGAATTCCTTTCATTTTCAGCTCCTAACTGCTATGCTTCTTCCCAGGCTTTCTCCCTCCCTTTGTTCTCCTCTGCATCCTATCTGCATGTTGCATTGCAAGAGAACAATTAGAAATTCTTAGTGGACATTTTGGCCTAAATTTTGGCCTGAGCCCTTGGACCACAATTAGGTGAAGTTCACTGGCCAGGATCCCAGGATCCTCAAATATTGAGACCAGAAGTTGTTTGTGGCTCATCTAAAATACTGGTCTTTTAACTTTTTACATGTCTCTTGCTTAAGATTAAGGTATGGAGTTGATGTTGGTTTTGGAGTTCAGGGTCCGTGGGTTCACTCTGGGAAAAGTTTCACCAGAGCTCCCTGTTGCATCGGGCAGTACCACACTGACAAAGAAACGGGAGTCGTGGCGCAGGCTACATAATGCAGGATGCTGCCAAAGAGCAAGATCCTGGCCTGTTTATTGATAAACCTGTCATACAGCATTAATCAAGTGAGGAAGTAAAAAAAGAAAGGGAGAATTAGAAGAAGCTGGGGGAAAGGTGGGACTGTGCATCTGCTGATAGTTTGGTATGTAGAACAGCCCTGACTCCCCAGTCAGGATTTCAATCTTATCAAGGAATGCCACTGATCAGCTTCTGGGGTCCTTTGTAATATATCAATCAATGCCCCCCACAACCACCCCCTGAGTGTTCCCAGTCATACCTGGTGTTGTATAAGTCAGGAGTAAGTTTATGCATCCGTCCTCGGTCATACCTTATAATGCATACCCTTCCCAGGGTGATCTAACTTTATGCTCTTAATTGATGTGCAAGGTGCCTTATAGAGTTGGGCTCTTAAAATGGAGGCTGGATAAACCACCTGGGATGAGCAGACGCACAGATACCTTTCAGCGGCACACGTTTCTCCACGAAACAGACTGTTACATTTAAAAAGTAGGTTTATTAGGGAAAAGGACGGAAGTATTAGACACTTGCATAGGCACAAGCAAGCAGGGAGAAATGCCCTGGAAGGGACAGGTTTGCAGAGAGAGACCTGCATGGTTGCAGGCAGGTGGCCTTAGGAGAGCGGCCTCCACTGAGGGAGGTCAGTGCGGAGAAGCCCCTGCCTGGCACAGATCAGGGGCAGGCAGGAGGCTGCTGCCCTGCAGAGGGAGAGAGAGGGTGGAAAGAAGCACCTCCATAGTCACAGGTGGGCAGAACCCCATGCTGATGCTGAGGCTGCACTGATACAGACAACTTCTCTTTGGGAGGGGTTCATCCTTATAAGCCTGGGTTTGTTGATTTTGAATAGAATCTGAAAGGATGGTTGATTCCCTAAGTGAGCTTCATCTGCATATCCTTATCTTTTACCTTTTGGGTCTGAGCTTTTGACACAGTCCCCAACAGTCTGTTATCTGCTGGGACCTCCCACCAACATCCCTGCATCTGTGACTCAGGACCTTGATTTTATGGCTGTGTCAAGGATCTTGATTTTTATGGCTGTTAATTGTTATGCTAGCCCCTTTACCCATCCCCCTTGTGTGAATCAATCTTGTGATGTCTCTTTCTGCATTCCTTCCTCCATAAGAGTGAGATGTATCATTCATAGCCCACTCTCTTATGTACACATGAAACACCTCCCCTAAGTGGGCCCTGTTTTGCAATAAGACCACATGGAAAGATCCTTCTCCCTAAAAGCCAAGCATTAAGACTTTGCCTGACCTGCATGGCTATAGGACATGCAAAGCTGTAACACAGTCTGTGCTACAGGATATCTCCTACAGAGCCAGACTTTGGAGTCAGTGGTTTGAAATCTTAGCTGCATCACATTGTAAAGCACCTAGCACTCAGTAACTATTTAACGAACATTACCTTTGATTCAGAATCTCACATGCATCAACTCATTTGTTCTAGACAAACAGCAAAGATACCATAAGCCCAGTATAATAAACCAATGTTATGACTCTTGGCCCAACAAGAATTAGTCCTTATCCATTCTTACTACTACTGGAGCATTGCTTAAAATGCTTTACATTTAATCCTGTGTCAAAACTATGAAATGACTCTAAAGTCACACTTTACAGATGAGGAAATTGCAGCAGAGAAAAACCCACAGATAGAGCAGAAGAGTTGTGATTCAAACCAAGGTAGAATGGCCCCCAAACAACACCCCCGTTCTGCCCCAACCCCCAGTGGGAAATGTCTCCATTTCCCACAGCTTTTAAGTAGTAGCTGGGAGTCAAGCTGACTGTAAGGGATGACATTCAACACCCCCAGAGCAAGGCACAGAGTATGGCCACAGAGCCAGCCCAGACAGGACTCAAAGCTGCCGTGGCACCAGGACCTGGAAATATTTTAATGTTCTTTGGAATTATTGGGGAAATGACCACCTTGGGTATAGGCTGAGTTGGTAATCTAAATTTGATAATCCTCTCTGCCCCCACGTTGGATAATAATCTTCCCATTTGAGACTTCTGGAAACTTCCATAGCTGGTTAACACTTGTTAAGCATCACTACCCCCCATCTCTGGTGTTTGACCTTGTGAGACCTTCCATTTAAATTTTTTCTGCTTGAAGTTTCCATAAGAAGCACAGTGGGCAAAGGTTCCCCCTTCACATTTTGGACTCCAGGGACTTGGGTCTGAGTGGGGACATTGCTCACAAAACCCCTGACTGTCTCCATCATCTGCTTATTCCTCTTCAGGGCACTGGACACCTCTTCGTAGTACTGCAGGTGAGTGAGTATATTTTTGATCACCTAAAGGACAAGACCGTGTTTTTATCATTTATTTCCCATGAGGAACATTTAGCAGATGCTTAAGAAGTGAATGAACATACTTGACCCCAAAAGGATTAAGAGTTTGCTTTTATTGTATTTCATTTTGTTAAAAGACAAAGAGTTTTGAACTTTTTTTTTCTGATGGTAAAATATGAATGAAAGTCTTTGGAGGAAAATAAGCCAATATTTTCAACTGTGTCTTGGCAACTCTTTTATATTCTATCTACTTTCACACTTTTTATTTGTACTAGTACCCAATTTAAAACTACAAATAGCACAGCTTTTAAAAAAGGAATTGTGGTTTAATAATAGCTATTCACACAACCTATTAAAATTCTTACTAATGCATAAAACCACAATGGATTTTAGTGGTTTCTGTGTAACTGTATGTAGTAAATGCCATATTCCTCACCATCTGAGATTTGTTAGAGGGACTGAGTGTGTTTCTTTTATTAACTAGTGGATATGAGTTGTAAGTGGCAGCTTTCAACAAACTTAATCTGAAGTTTTGTAAATGAGTTTTACAACTCTTAATATTTTATTCAGTATGCTGGGGAGGAAAAACGCTTCCCATACAGGTAAATTGTCTGGGGCCCTGTGAATTAAAATAACCAAAGATACTAACAAGAGAAAAGGCACAGAAGTTTTATTGCTTTTACATGGATGAGAGTTCATAGAAAAGAATGAAACCCAAAGAAATTAGTAGACGTGGCCTTGCAAGCCTCAAATCTCAACAAGGGATAAAGTACTTAGGTTTCAAGAGATGATGCACGGGAGAGAAGTAACTAGGGGGATCGAGTAAGGCTGTTTAGGCAACCTTGGTGTTTAGGCAAATTCAGTTTTCTTTCTCCACTCTTCTCCCTGTGGGAGGAAAGGATATCTTCCTCAAAGGAAATTAATGCCTTGTTTTAGGTAGAGAGAGGGAGAGCAGAGAACTCTTTGCATGTCTGTCCTCAGTCACAGGCATGTTCTTCAAGTAGAAAAGGGAAAGGTGACCTTCAAGTAGAAAGGTGACCTTCAAGTAGAAAAGGGAATGTTACAGCTGAAACATACACTATTTCCAGTTTCATTTGCTTTTACAAATCCTGTTGCTGTTGTTAAAGAATCCTGTTTTCATCTCAAGTTTTAAGTCATTAAAAATGATAAGACTGTAAGGTATATTTACTAAAAGGGACGATGTCTTCATCCTATTCTTTTAAAAAAAAAGACATTTGCATATTTTATTCAAATATTATCCATGCATAGCTATGTTCTACAATTTCAGTTCCAGTGATAGGTGCGCAGGTTTGGTGTGTGACTTCTGTAACATGACATTATATCTCAAATATTCTTCATTTCTTGCTTGCTCACAGCCTTATTACTCAGCAGCCGCAATATGAGCCTAACCATTCTCTCCTTGTCAGACACCAACACCTGCCTTCTGGGGGCGGCTCCACCGTAGGGTGGGGGTAGGGTGAATGTGGTGGTTTGTCCCCCTCTGGCCAGGTACGACGACCTGGGCCTGCAAGAGCAAGACTTGGGGAGGTCAGTGGTCGCATCCCAGCCCTAAGCTGAGACAGGTCAGGCTGGGTTTACACTCCAGAAGCTCTCTCCTTGCTTTCCCCACTCACAGCCTAAGGTGATTGGAATCCGTTCCTGTGGCGCCATAAAGGAACACTCACCTTTCCTAATCCAGCCCACAGTCCGGACTTGTCCAGGGTGGGTTCTTCCTGGCACGCTCTCCTGTCCTGGCAATTCACCGACCCACTGTGCGCAAAGGAAGAGCCAGGCCTCGAGCTCTGAGCATCATGGTCTACCTGCTGACCTCCGAAGTCCAGCAGCTGCTGCACAACAAGTTCGTGGTCATCATGGGGGACTCGGTCCAGAGAGCTGTGTACAAGGACCTGGTACTCCTGCTGCAGAAGGACTGCCTGCTCACTCCCAGCCAGCTCAGGGCCAAGGGAGAGATGAGCTTCGAGCAAGACAAGCTGGTGACTGGGGGTCAGTTGGGCCTCATGCATAATGGCACCAACTACCGCGAAGTCCGCCAGTTCCACTCCGACCATCACCTGGTGCGCTACTACTTCCTCACACGCGTGTATTCCGACTACCTCGAGTCCGTCCTTCAAGACCTGCAGTCGGGGGAGCACACCCCCGACGTGGTCGTCATGAACTCGTGCCTCTGGGACCTCAACCGCTACGGGCCCAACGCCTTGGAGAGCTACCAGCAGAATCTGGGGGCCCTGTTCAGCCACCTGCGCCAGGCGCTGCCCGCGTCGTGCCTCCTGGTGTGGAACACGGCCATGCCTGTCGGCAAGAAAATAAAGGGGAGCTTCCTGACCAACCACCAGCCATGTAACGAGTCCCAGAAAGCCAAAGTGATGGAAGCCAACTTCTACAGCTCTGTTGAGGCGGATAAACACCTCTTGGACGTGCTGGATTTGCACTTTCACTTCCGCCATGCGGAGCAGCATAGGCAGACAGACGGGGTGCACTGGGACGAGCGCGCCCACCGACACCTCTCCCAGCTGCTGCTGGCCCACGTGGCTGACGCCTGGGGCGTGGACCTGCCTCACCGTGACAGGGTGGGCAAGTGCATCAAGAATGGCCCTGCAAGGGAGACGCCTAAACAGTGGGTGGAGAGGCAGTTGGCGGCCGGCAGCCAGGATGTGGCCACACGTCCGCTCCTACCCTTGCCTCCTCCTGCAGGGCCCGGGCTCAGGCCCCTACTACCGCTCCCAACCCCACCTTCCTGCCTACTGCCGCTCAGTCTCCTGTCCTCACAGCCTCGTGCTGGCCTCTTCCCCCAGCAGACGCCCCAGTTTCAGCCCTATCCGCAAGGTGCCTTTTTCTCAGACTATTTTCATTCAGATGTCCCCTTGTCTTCCCAGACTGAACTTGACTTTGTGTTTGATCCCCAGCCCCCTCTGCTGCCCTTACCCACACCCTGTTATCAGCAATGGGACCCTGTAGTTCATAGGGGTTTTCATGGGTTTCCTCCTCGGGGCCCTTATGCACCCTGGAGACGGAGGCCCAGACCTTTCAAGAGAAGGGCCCCAGACCACTCAGAGCCAAGGCCTCAATAAGGTGGACTTCAACCTTTTCCTCCACCTGCCCATGGAGTGGACAGATCACTGACCTTGTTAATTATTTGGTTCATGTTTGGACCTATTTTTGTTCACTCCTATTACCAGTGAAGGTAGACTAGAACACGCTGTGACCCATCTTGGGGCCTCTGGCTCCTGTGGGAGTGACCAGGCATAATTCCTGCCTCCCTATTCCCTATTCTTTTCGTAAAGGTAAACTTGAAATAAAGAATTTGTTTCACAAAGCAGTGATTGGTTTTATGCGTCTGTATTTAGTGCTGCCTCCCCTTTGCTAAGCAGTTAGTTCTGCCCGAGTAAGGATAGGAGATGAATACGGGTTGGGGCACCTATTTGATGAACTATTCCACATGAGCTGTCCGACATAAATCTTAGGATATTGAGAAAATTGATGTGATTGCTTACAAATAAAAAAAAAATTAATCCTTTGTGATCATGTTTTCTGGAGATTCTTAGGGATCCTTAAATTTTAGACAGGGAAAACTAAAGATAACAAAATTTAACATTTACAAACAAGGAAACAAAGGCCAGGAGAACCCGGTGACTTGTTCTGGGTCACACAGAAAATTCTCCACTAGTCTAAGTGGCTTATACTAGTCTCTAATTTATATTAACTTTCAAGGCACAGGACTGACTTACACCACAGCAAATAGCAAACCAAGAAGGGGAAGTTTACTAAACATGGTCGATCCATGCAAGTCATGGTGAAAAAACCCTGTAACTGCATAACCAGAAGCTTATTGGCCTGCTCTGACTTCTTGAATAGAGTTTTGCCTTGAGAAAATTGTCATTAAAACTAACTCATACAGGTCCTCCCTGGTGGCGCAGCGGATTAAAGCACAGCACTAAGAAGCTAAAGCCACCCAGCAAAATTCCAGGGAGGTGACCACCCACGTGGTATGTCAGACTTATTTTGACCCACCCACTGCTCCCCTCAGCAGTATACTTTGTCAATCAGCCTGTTCTGCTCCCCACTATGTCTCTGGTGAATGCTCTCTCTTCTCCTGCACCTCTGGCCTGCACCCCAGTTATGTATGCATAAATAAATCTTTAAAAAAACAAATTCATATAGGGCTGTCCCTGGTGGCACAACAGGTTGGGACATAGACTATTGAGCTCTACGAAATCCACTGCCTGGCCAGAGAGCTAACCCACATGGTGCAGCAGACCTCTCCTATCCTGCCCACTGTTGCCCTCAGCAGTGCATTTCAGTCAGCCTGCCTATTCTGCTCCCCACTCTGTCTCAAGTGAGTCCTATCACCACTCCCTCCCCCATCTCTGGCCTTTACCACAGTTCTGAATCCATGAATTGATAAATCTTAAAAATAAGTAAATAAAACTCATCCTGCTCATTGACAATGTGAGTGATGGCTGTGACATAAAACTGAGCTGGAAGGCACTAGCCAGCCTCAATTCCAACAGAGGGCCACAGTCATCTCTTCTGTTTGGTAGGAATGTTAATATTGCAAAGATGTTAAATGCTAGGCCCTTTGTTAATAGTTAAAAACAATATGATATGAGTAAAATTGTCCAAATAATAAGAATCTAATGATTTGATTTAGCTGGGTCCTCAACTGGTCTATCCCAAAATTTTAAGTGAGGGTAAGTAGATGGTATCCTGCAAAAATGAAGTTGGTGAATGCACAAGAAATGATTGAAATCAACTGTTTATGGTAGAAATACATGGTGACTTAATCCACTAACACTGAAGTTCCTGGTGAATAAAGCCTGTATCTTACTTATCTTTGAACCTAAATCTTGGTGCAATGTCTAGCACTTACTAAGTACTGACTAATGTTTCTTGAGTGACTCAGTGAATGAAGAGGTGGTACATAAATGTGTTTCTAAGTATCTCTAAGGAGATACTATAAATTGGATAAAAATATAAATGCCAGAAACTATATAAACTAATGTTTAATCTTTTTAGCACATCTGAAGTCATTGCCAAAACAGCCTGGTGGTGAACTTTGAGGACTTTAGAAAGATCGGGCCTACGAGTCCAAATTTGCAGAATGTTCCAGAAGAGTCAGGAGAGAAGGCAACTGTCTGACTAATGTAAATGTTTACTCCCACTGAGGAGAGGAGTGCATTGGGCTCTGAGATTTGGGTAACATTAGCCAGTTGTCTTTATGCTGGCTTTACACTTCATTAGTACACTCAAGCAGCATTAGCTGACACATTTGTATTTCTATGAATATATGGATAAATTGGTGTTGTGGTTTATATCTTCTGTAAATTAGGTTAATATATATTAATCCTCAAGCTAAGCACACCTGAAGAAACAAGGAGGATGAGTTTTTAGATACATAGTACTGAGGACTAGATATTAAGTCTGATAATTCTATGATAGGGATTAAATTGCTCCTATCACTTAACAGTCCTCTTTCTATCAGATAGTGGGAAGTCTTGGAAAAGGATGCTTTTCCTTCCCAGGTGCATTAATTTTCTGTTGCACTCTAAAAAATACCTTTATGGGGCCCTCCTTGGTGGTGCAGTGGGTTAGGACTCAGCACCACAAGCTAGTCACAGCGGCTTCAGTGTGAGTTTGCTCCCCAGCTCCAGAGGTGACCCGCATGGTGCAGCAGATCTCTCCAGTCTCATCCGCTGCTCCCCTTAGTGTGCTTCAGCGATCTGCCTGTTCTGCTCCCCACTCTCTCTGGTGAACCTCTCACTGCCCCTGCACCTCTGGCCCGTATCCCAGTTCTGTACACATAAATAAATCTAAAATAAAAATACCTTTACAACTTGAGAAAATACCTAAACAAAATAACTACAACATGAAAAAATAGCTAAATCACACTTCTGGAGGATAAAAATTTAAAGTCCATTACCCCAAAGAAAAATCGTACTGCCCTACGTGATCAGGCTTCTGCCTGCCCTCACAGTGTTATTTTCCAGAACACTCTTCTTTGCTCTTGATGCTTTTAAATGGATAGGATTTCTATTTGCTCATACAACATGCCAAGCTCTTTTACTATTGGGTCTTTATACTTGCAACTCCCTTTGCCTAGAATATTCTACATCTGCTATTTTCCCACTCTTTAGATATCCAACTATTCTCCTACTGTCCCAAGGCCCTCCACACCATGTAAGCTCAAGGTACTGCTAGCATCTATTAGGCATTCTTTATTTCCTTTGTTTTGCAGCCTGCCCTGCAGGGGCTTCAGTAGTTCCCTGTTAGCCTCTCCCTGGAGCGGAAGCTCTGTGTCTTGCTCACTATTGAGTTCCTTATGTCTATTAACACAGAACCTAACAAATAAGGTCTTCATGTATATTATCCTCAGTTAAATGTTCAATACCATAATTAAGTCATATTGTGTACTTAAGGATGCAATTTATATTTAAATCAAGCAGGATTTGATTACTTTAGGAAATGTCTCATACTATCACTTAAGTCATTCTGAGTGGCTAACATCCACTGGGCACCCCATTCCCACAGGGGTGAAGAGGCTAATAGCACCTTCTGTATGTGATTGTATTTCATCTCATATCTATGGTGACCTTGATCTACATAGAGCTTTCTTTTTTAACGTTTGCTTTGTCACCTTGATCCTTAAATTAAGAAACCTAGTGATACAATCAAACTATTATATGGTAAAAAGAGCAATAGTATCCAACATTTATGAGGGAAATTATTGCTTTTGTTTGTTTTTCACTTTTACTTTCTTTCACTTTAAATTGAACTTATTCCCTAGCCCAGAAGTCATGTTTCTTCTGAGATATCTTTATTTTCTATGCAGTCTCCTTCCCTGGTTTAGGAACAAATAACTGCCCTTTGGTAGTAAGTACTGTCTTGTATGGCAGGGGGACCTCTTCCACCATGAGTTCTGTGATGCATCTTGGCTTTGATCACCTGGATGTGCTCGTTGACAGGAGTCTACATCTAAACCCTGAGGCTGGGCATTGTTCTGCATTTTTAAGCATGGACAGTAAACATTTAGCATTCTTGGGAGTCACCAACCCTGCAACCAGCCGTACTGTTTGGCCTGGGCACACCTACCAACTCCACTACAGTAATGCCAAGAATGGCACGCAGTGCTTGGGCAGAGACATCCTTCAGATGGCTGTGGCCTTTCAGGTATGCATACCCTGATGGCCCAGGCCATCTCACAAGGGTTTCTCAAGTGAGCACGAAGATTTCACCGTCTTGATTTGCATGGCTTTGTAGGGTTTTCCAGGTTAAGTGAGTTGTGAAACGTGTTCAATAATCACCCGAGGCCACTTTTGGGGAGAGAACGGCTTTGTGGTGAAGATTTGGGACTCAGGGTGCATTTGCCTGTTCTCCAACTCAAGAAATGACAACACTTAAAGCTTCTCATATTTAAATCCTGTCTCCAGTTTTCTGGAAAACGAAAGTAAAATTTATGTTTAAAACAATATTATCCAAGCAGCATTTGTGTCTCTCAAGGCTTTATAGCACCAGAGTCTATTATGTTATACCAAAGGCCAACACTTTACAGCTGTAACTATTTTTTCTACATGTTCAAATGAAACCCTGGATTTGAAAGCAAATGGAATCTACCATCTTTCATAGAATTAGGATCAGGCCCCCTGAGTGGTTGACAGGCGCCCTGCCCCTCACTCCCTGGAGAGCTTCCAGGTTGAATTCTGGAGTGGAACCCAGTAGCAGCTTCATCTTTGACACCTTTTTGCTTATTAGTTCTGCAAAAATGAAATTGTTAGAAAATTTACATTATTAAGATTCATGTCAGAGGAAGGATTTAGCAATGCTTTAAAGCTATTCTGTAGGGACCTTCGCTGCTGGCACAACGTGTTAAAGTGCAGGACTATGAAGCTGTCCAAAGCCACTGCAGCACAAGTTTGATCCCCAGCCATGGGGGGACCCACATGGAGTGGCAGATCCCTCCTGACCTGCTTGCCCCTCCCCTCAGCAGTGTGTTTCAGTCAATGTGCCTGTTCTGCTCCCCACTCTGTCTCTCGTGAGTCCTTTCATCCCTCCCCCCACCTCTAGCTTGAACCCCAGTTCTTGTATGCATAAACAAATCAATCTTT